GCTTCAAAGCCTGTTGTTTGGAATGGGTGGCATTTTTTTCAACGACCTGAAGTGAGGCTCTGCAGGCCACTGGGGAAACTAGTGATGCACAGCGCAAAAGCACAACTAGAGTACAGTAGAGATTTCCCTTGCTGTCAGAGTATTTCAGTGTTGTTATTTTATTTTATTTGTAAAACATCCATCCACATACAAAACTGAAGAACTTTTTCAGCTATGTGCCTTTTAAGATCATTACCGTTCCTGAGGGGGTTTTTTCTGAGCATGCACCAATTCAGCTTTGGAAGGAAGGGGATCACCAAGTCTGTCTTTGAGGCCAGAAAAAAACCCTAATGCTTTACAGTATTTTCAGGTCATTTCTGGAAGAAGATGGTTCTCAGCTGGTCAGCAAAGGAAAGTGGTCCTGTGGTCTTTTAACACTTGGAAAATCCACAATAGATGTGCTGACTAGCGACAGTTTGTATTTACTCTAGGGGCCGAAGTTAGGTTTTAATCCCCTATCTCAAGCCAGTTTAAATCCTTGAATAACAATGTAATGCAATAGGTCAGTTTGCAAGCAAGTTTTAATAAAGCGAATGTCAAAAATTCTAAAAAAAAAAAATAAAAGGTGACTACAAAAATAGAGGTGGAATTGTGTTCATAAGTAACAAGGCAAGTTCCTAACAAGGCAAAGATGTGAATAGGGGATCTTTTTTAACTAATGGCTTAAAAGCTCTGGTTTTGCTGCATACGATTGTATAAAGAGCCCTACCTGTAATTTTGGATGTGTCTTACCCCATGTAAAAGTTAGGAAGGATTTGGATCCTCAAATTAAAGCAAAATTGACAAATCCATTGTTTTTCATATGCACTGTTAGCCCTTGCTTACTGACTGCTTGCAGTCTGTTAGCTTCCTCTTTGCATTGATTTTTCACATGGGGAAAAAAAAAACCAAACAAGAAAAGCACTTGAAAAGACAAAGGATAGTGAAATGGGAAGAGACCTCAAGACTCAGGCTGGTAACGGAGTGCACGAAGCAACTTTGAACTCCTTTCTGAAACTTAAGAAGGTCCCAGCTTAAGCTTTATTAAATATCTGTCTGTGAGTGAGATCAATGCATCTATAATACATTGCTGAGTAGATTTGTACAGCTTGCAGCCCCTCTGAAGAGGTCTGTATAATTATGCTTTTAGTTCCTCATTTCTTCTAGTAGATACTGTGGAAGCATAAAGCAAGGTGATTCTGTTAATAGTTTATTTATGAAGCTTTACAATGGGTTTGTGAAAATACTTATGTGCTTTTTCCTACATTTAAAAAAAATACAGCTCTGTGTCAGGATTTCTGTGAAATGAAGGTACATAATAACTTTTACTTCCATTCTTGTTTTGTCAGTCACTAATGTATACTCCCTTAAGCTTGCAGAACAGCGTATTTGACATTTCCCTTGGTCCTGGCTTTTCATACATCTTACTGATGTAATGGAATCTGTTATTATACGGTACATAAGAAATAAATTCTGTGTTAATATTTAATACTGTACTCAAGGAAAATGAGAAGCTGCTGAAGCTCTTGGTTATAGTGTGGATTTCGAAAAGTTCCTGGATGGTTGCTGTGACAGCAGGCAATTTGGGTTGAGCTGGAAGGTTTTGCCAGGAAGGACTGTCTGCAACCTGAGCGAGCTGGGGCTGGAGCTGTCACTGAGCTGCGGTGCTTCCCTAGGTGCTTGGTGCTTGCGATGACTCGGTGGGGTATATCTCAGAATTCAGCCTCAGAAGCTGCAAGCAGTCTGAAAGAAGCATGACAGTGGGGGGAAAAATAAAAAATGGTAAATAGACTATTTCCTGACTCCAGATTGTCTTGAGTGGTAATTCATTAACACAGTTGTTTTTCCAAAAGGAGTGGTCATGCTGCTCCTAAGAGGAGTAGCAGGCTGGCATTCATAGGACAAACCAGACAGTCCCTTCTGCCTTTCAGGGGGAAAACATGACAGATAGTAATTAAAATCCAAAACTCGGCTCTTATCCAGCAGCAGGGCAGACAGACTTGTGCTGTTGCTCTTCTTGGAGCATCCTGGCAGATGATCCCCTCCTTATTTCACCCTTTAGAGGCTGGTGGCTTCTTGGTCATTGCCACCACAGGGAGCCGTCCTGGTCCCCTCCTGCCCTAGCACAGGTCCCACCTGACCTCTCCTGAACAACTGCAGCCCGAGCTCCCTCTTCAGCACAGGAACCACTTTCTTCCTAATCCCAACAGTGTCGTTGACACCATCCTCCTCTGGGCACTGATTTCTGGCAGCATCCTGGGGGGTGGTTTGTCAGTTATTTAAATCCTCTCTCTGCTCTGTGCACGATTTACTGTAAGAAAATCTGAGCTCTTACTCTTTTAAGAATGAGTTTTAAGTGACACAATCACCATGGTAAGCATCTGTCAAATTATGTAGTAAATGCTAGGCAAGTAAGAAACAGATGAATCCTCGTGAGTCCAAAGAAAATCTCGCAAATGGAGTGGGTTTTTCTTTAGCTTGACAGATGTAATCGTTGTTTCTTCTTTCTGTCTAACCTTGAGGTAGTGTAGCTTGGTTGAAACCTTTGAAAAGGAAGTTGAATTGTGTTGCAAGGGTATTTATCTTTTTAAGCTAAATCACTTTAAACTAGATTGGGTATAAGCATTTTGTGTCCAGAGTGGCAGAGATGTACATCAGCTGTGTGTACAGGGTGCCAATCTAATTATTTCACTTTCAGTGTCAGAAATACACGTTATTACTGCAGTTGTTTGCTGGATTCTTCTTTTGGTTTCCCAGATCTGCACAGTAGCCCTGGATTACTAAAGGTTATTCAGTTATACACCAATGTACTTTTTTTAGCTGTCTATACTATGCCCGTTGATATTAGTGCAAAAAATCAGACTACTAAATTACTGCATTGGTCAGTCACTATTATGCCTTTTAATTGTTTGGTTATTTGCTTGTGAATCCCTGTTAATTCTGTATACAGACAAACCGGAATGTGTTGTCTGTTTGTGTTTGCCAGTGACAGATAAAGAGAAAACAAGTGGCTGGTGGCCTGATCATATGCACTATGAGAGGAAATTTTAAACCACATAAATTAGCACTAAATCTTTGAGTATTGTTTTCTTTAGTTTTCTGTTAGAGGATGAAGAACTTGGAAGCGTGCCTGTATTGTCCAGAAGTGCTGTTTGTAACCTGGCAGATGTTGCTGTGGAGACAGCATCTTCCACAAAAAGTAATGTGAAAGGGAGCTAATAAGAACTGATTGTGCAACAATGTTAAATTTATAAATTAATGTAAATAAAACATACCAGTCACTTTGATTAACTGAGCTGTTAGAAGGTGACAGCGCTTGACAGAACTCGAAGTGTTTGCTTTTGCAAGCAAACTTAAATTTCTAAGGAGTTCGCATCAAGAAAAATTAATAGGAATGTTAATTTTTGTTTCCTTTTTATGTGAAACGTTTCTCAGCAATTTAAGTATTGTCAGTTTTATGCTGGAGAGAGACCATGAAATGGTTAGTGTTTTGGGCTGGTTTTGGTTTTTGTTTTTGAATGCATGATAAGGGGATACAGTTTTGATAGATTTAAAAAGTATTTATTGGTTTTGTCTGTTGATCGCCTCTCTTCAGTTAATGTGCTTTATTGAATCAGAAGTTTATCTTTCAAATATCGCACAAAGCTTAAAATCTATTTTAAAAAAATCCCAGGGCCAAAGAGCTGTCACTTTCTCCTAGGGCAGGTCACTTTCTCTTGACTGCTTGCCTTTACCCAGGCTCTGAAATGTACTCACAGGAGTGTCCTTTCCCTTGCTGTCCTGGTTTAGAATTGAGAACTAAACCAGTTTCTAGGTTTTGGGGATTAGCACTGAACTGCTGTGAGGTGCCTTAATCCCTCTGTGGCTGGGCACAGGAGGGCTGTCAGAAGCACGGCCTCCCCTAGCCACACTGGCAAGCCGCTTTGGCTCCTTCCGAGTGCGGCGCTGGCATCCTGCTTGCCCTGACTGTGACACCTCTGCCGGGGCTGTGCGCAGACTTACCGTGTCATGGCAATGTGAAACACAAACCAACACATCTGTAGGTGGTTTTATTAACTCCTGACCGCTGTAGGGGTTTTCTGATGTGGTTGCTGATGGCAATGTAACCCATCCAAGTAGCTAATAAGATGCGTTGTCTTAGTCTGCACTGTCCTGTAAGCGTGTATAGCAGTGGTTGAAGGAAGAAAAAAAAAAAAAAAGTACAACATTAAAACAGAAAGCAGATTGAGAGCAGTCTTGCTGTTGCTCTGCTTAGTAGCTGCGGTGTTAGGCCTGGCTTGGTTCCTACTTTTATATTTCACTTTGGAGAGGATAGATGATGAACATAAGTGGATTCACTTTCACTTTGTGTTTTGTGTTTCAAAGTGATGCTTTCACGTTCGCATCGTTTCTAAAACTAAATCACAACAAGGATTTGAAATTTGGTAAATGCTTATGTTTTGCAAAACAAAAAGCTCTGTTCTAAGTGGAAGCTGACTGTCCTCTTAAACTTTGCTTTTTATTATACTATTAGTGAAGTACTTCTTTGTATAAATACTATTATTATAGCTGTAGTTTTTAACTTGAAACGACAAGTAAGGTTCTTCGGCCCTTCTTGTTTTGTGAGAGGATTTAACATTCATGTTTGTGGCCTTTTGCATTGTGTTATGCAAGCCTTTGCCTCCTTTTCTTCTTCTGAGTGCTGCAAGTTAGTGTGTGTGTGTGGGAGTTAAAGCAGCGAGTTTTCTAAAATGATGTTGGAAGCAGGTGGTAAAATGAGCTGCAGTTTCTCAGGATGAGCAAAGATGGCATGATGTGAAAGAGAATGGCAGATGCGGTCCTGAAGTAGCTGTTCCTTAGGCTTACCACTTTTAAACACTTTGGACCCCTTTTCCAAACTGTGATTGCTATTAAACTTACTCTGCAAAGGGTCATCCTTAAAACTTTCTTCACTTTTGCCGATTTGACTGAGGTTTGTTGTGTCTCTCTAATTTTCATTCCAGTGAAAGCTGGTGGGATGCGGATTGTGCAGAAACACCCACACAATTCTGATGCCAAAGAAGAAAAAGATAAGGATGACCAAGACTGGGAAACCAGCAGGTGAGCACTTCGATTTGATGCACGTGCTACAGCGAATTTCCATGACCTTGAACCTTATCACCGGTTTGTTTTCCTTGCAGATAGCAAACCAACCATACAGTTGTTTTTGTATTATAAAAGTGATTTAAAGTGGTAGCAAGTTACGTGCTCCTTCAAGACAATTGGGGAATTTGGGAATTTTTACCTTTCTGAGCCTCCTTTAAGTGATCCTGCCAGGTAAGAGAAGGTTAGAGAAAAAAGTACAGTTAAAATAAAACATCAGCTTTCCTAAAACCTCTAAACATTATTTCAGACTGTGCAGAAACATAGAGGCTAGGCACGTTTGGACACAAGCATTAGGCTGTCAATCTGTGTATGAGGTCTTGCTGTGTGCTGGGTGATTCCTTCTACCCTTTGGCCCGTGCTTCTTTCTCTGTGAGGTATTTGACAATATGATGCTTTGTAAAAGACCAGTAAAAATAAATGCTATGAATATTATCTGCTTTTATTTTAAGTGGGAATCTAGTAGTTTTAGTGGTGGAGGATACCAAGGCAGACAGCAGTTACTTAACAGCTTTAACTAGATTTATTAGGTGACTGCTGTGGAGAAATGAAAGCAGGGAGGTTCAATGGACTGTTGCTGTATTTCTGTTCATAGAAAAGCCACTTGGTTTTGTGCTGCTTTCCTTGGCTAGCTGTTCTGCTTTTTAGCCAAGATTATATTTACATGAAATCTTTATGTACTAGCTTATTGCATGGGTTTGTCCATGCTGTTTGCTCAAGGCAAAAAAACCCCAGAGCGCCATTGTTGTGCTTTGGAAACTAGACTGACTTATGATGTTTATTTTACATGAAAAACAGTGGTAATAAATAAGCATTGTGAAAATGTCTGTATAAATAAGAACAAATGTGTTTATTTACTAAATCACAACTTGAATAGGAAACACGTTTATGAGAAGAGGAATGTAATTTTAATTAATATATTCAAATGAAAGGAGGAAAACAAAACTTTATGCCATTTCTTCATTAACCAAGCTGATCTTGTATTTCTGTTAGTGGCATGTGAGTTGGAACAAGGATATGTACTGCAGTCAAGTTTTGTCCAAAGGAAGGAATCGTATCTCATGGTTAATTTAAACTTCGTATGGGGATGCATCCTTTTATTTAAGGTGTGCTTGTGGTGTGTTGACCTTGGCTGGATGCCAGGGCCCCACCAAGCTGCTCTGTCGCTCCCCTCAGCAGGACAGGGGTGGGGTGGGGGAAAGTAAGATGGAAAAAACTCAGGAGTCAAGATAAAGGCAGTTTAATAAAGCAAAGGCTGTGCATGGAAGCAAAGGAAAACAAAAAATTTATTCTCTGCTTTCCATCAGCAGGCAATGTCCAGCCACTTCCCAGGAAGCAGGGCCTCAGTACGTGGAGTGGTTGCACTGGAAGACAAATGTCATAAAACTCCCCCCCCCCCCCCCCCCCATTTCTCTTCGCTTTTATTGCTGAGCAGACGTCATGTGGTATGGAATATCCCTTTGGTCGGTTTGGGTCAGCTATCCTGGCTGTGTCCCCTCCCAACCTCTTGCCCACCCCCAGACTACTGGTGAGGGGCCAATGTTGGAGAGACAGCCTTGATGCTGTGCGAGCACTGCTCCGCAGTAGCCAGAACACTGGTGTATTATCAGCACCTTTCCAGCTACCAGCACACAGCGCAGTGCTATGACGGCTGCTGTGGCAAAAATTAACTCCATCTCAGCCAGACCCGGTACAGTGTTATATATGTTCTTATTCTTACATTTCCTTGGCATGTCAACCTCATGGTGAGGGAATCTCATTTGGATCCTAATGAGAAGACTTCTTATGCCTGTTCACAGATCTAAACCTCTGTTACAATACAGTGATCTGCTTTATTCCTTTCTTCAAACAAGACTATAGTTTTCCCCTCTCGCTCAACTAGTGTGCTTTAGCAGGTGCTGTGGCACAATAGAAGCAGATCTGTTGGGGGAAGCAGTCAGTGCTGAGGGCATCATGCTCACACTGTCTGTGTTTTAGAGATTACTTGGTCTGATCTTCTGGAGTGAGGACCAACCCTGGCTGGCATGTGTTAGGTGTCTCTTTGGACTGCGTGTTCCAGTTTAGCATCATCTGCAGGGAGTTCAGACCAGATGCCCTGAGACCAGTCCACAGCACAGAACAAAGCCTGGCCAACAGAACTATTGGGTGGGGGAGTGCACTCCTGATCTTAAGATGTTAACAAATACGCACTGTATATTGATATTGTAAAGCAGGTCCATGAGCAATTTTTATGCTTTAAAGGCAAAGGAGAAAGTTTAATGACCTCTAGAGCTACCTTACTATCTAGGGAATAGTTAGCTGTTGCACCTCATGAAATCCCCTCCCTCAGCCACCTAATCAGTTTATTGTCAAAGTACGCACTTAGAGTGTGCTCTTCACTTTGATTTATTTTGCAGAGGATATGTTATCAGTCTGTATTAGGCACTTGTGTATACAGTTATTCTCAAGCCTGTATATTAATTAAAAAGCATTGGTCTGAACTTTTTATTTCTTTGATTTGATCCTCTTGAGAAAGAAGCTGGCAGGAGGGACAGAAGGAGCAAAGTTAGATGGGAACCATCTAGAATTATAAGACAAAATTGTAGGTTGATTTACAAGTCATAGAAGTAGTTTTCCTGGTAGAACTAGGAAACCTTTGTGTCTGTGAGGGAAAGGGTTTAATGTGGCTGTTGTAGGCTCCTGTGGGAATACTTCTACAGCTCTGGTGGCTATAGATGCTATAGATGTGAGCAAGAAGTTATTTACCCATAGACAGAATAAGCAAACTCCACAGGCCATAGTACATAAGGTTGTTGTTTGTCAAAATTAAATTACATTTGCAGCGTGTCAGCTGCTGTCATGCTGGAAGGCACAGTCCCCTGGAGTTTCTGTGTCTGCTCCTGGTGATTCACAGTGCCCTTCTAAAATGCTCGGATGTCTGATGTCTGTGGAGGGAGGTTTATCGGGAGGTGGGGACGGGTTTATCAGGAGGAGGAGGAGAAGCCACTAGCATTCTGTTCTGCTTTCTGTGACAGCAATATACATGTACTTTTTGGTCTTTGCTAGTGGTATTTTATGTCCTTTTCCTAAGCAGATGCAGAGACATCTGTGTTTTTAGCTTTATACTCATGTTTTAATCTTTGCCATTTTAAGGTAGTATCACTGATATGATGCAATCTTTACTCCCTGTTGCATTCAAAGTCAAAAGAAGCAAACAGCTCTTCAGGCAATTTGTATCAGGTGATGCGGGCAGCTGACTGATATGAGAGAAAATAATGAAATGGAGAAGAGTAATTTGTGTGTGAAGAGGGAGGCTAGGATGATTGAGTGATTATTTTAATCTCATTGCCGGCTTAGTTGAGAACAGATTAGTGGAATTGGCAGTAAATCGAGGCAGAAGATTTCAAGCTCCCAGGGTTCCCTGGGAGCTCTGAGAGCACATGTCTTCCCCATGATGGCACAAATCTGAGCAGCTCCTCAGCAAGAAAGCTTTTAGCTAGAGTTCTTAGAAGTATTCGTGGCTTCGGAGACAGCTGGCATTGTTCTTGCAGCGTGCTTTCAGAAAAAGACATTGGGTCAGTGGTTCTGGTCTTAATGTAAACAAAGCTGTTACAGGTAAACACCCCTGAAGTAGTGAATTGTGCTGTGATAAAGGTGACTTTAACAGTCACCAGGTATATCTTCTTGGACATTTCTTTTTCTCAGTTGTTTAGCTACTTGCAATCCAGTTACTGTAATTTACTCTGCAAAGTATTTTGTTTGGTTCTGTTTCTTAAAATAATTTTATTATGACAACTTACCATTTCATGAAATGGTAGGCTGACTCGTCATAATGGTGATTTGTTCCCCCTTGAAACAGTGTGTGGTAAGATAGAATCATGGACTGGCTTGGGTTGGAAGGGACCGTTAAAGGCCATCTAGTTCAACCCCCCTGCAGTGAGCACGGACATCTTTAGCTGGATCAGGTTGCTCAGAGCCCCGTCCAGCCTGACCTTGAATGTTTCCAGGAATGATTCTATGGGGTTTCTATCACCTCTATGGGCAGCCTGTCCCTGTGTTCCACCACCCTCATTGTAAAAAATTTCTGCCTTATATCTAGTCTAAATCTGCCTTTTAGTTTAAACTCGTTATTCCTTGTCCTATTGCAACAGGCCCTGCTAAAAAGATTGCTCCAGTCTTTCTTACAGGCCCCCTTTAAGTACTGAAAGGCTGCAATGAGCCTTCTCTTCTCCAGGCTGAACAACTCCAACTGTCTCAGCCTGTCCTCATAGTGGAGGTGCTCCAGCCCCCTGAACATTTTTGTGGCTATCTGGACACTCTCCAAGAGGTCCATGTCTTTCTTTTGCTGAGGACTCCACATGAGAGTATAAGGAAGAAATTTTTTACAATGGCTGGATGAACTTCTGATCTGTTCCGTTATTGATTTTTCTCATGTTTCTGTAGTTGCTTAAGACTTGCATTGGTTTGGTTTTTTGCATATGGTTGCAGTTTTGATTGATTGACAGCCATACTGATTGCTTCCGGAAGGGTTTTTTTTTGTGATACTAGATGAAGGTGAAACATAGAAGTATGGTTATGAATAGAAACCATCATTTTCCAGGACTGTATGTTGTCATAGAAAATATTTGGAATGAGTAGGCTAGTTATAGTCCTGGGCTTTATTGAAAGCCCATTAATGCATGTTTAACTGAGATTTGCAGTGTCATGTGCACTCCTGTGCCAGCTTCTGACTCTAGCCATAACAAATACTCCTGAAGACAGATAATCTGAAGTGGGAGCTGCTTGTTCAGTTTTGCACAAGAGCTTCATTAATTGTCGCTCTTGGACTTCAGGAAGAAGAACTATAATTATGTATCAGCATCTGGATTTAAAAAAAATATTTAAAGCAAATATCTGGCTCATTTTGTCTTTTAACAAACAGACTAAACTGCAAAGGCTTTCATGTCTAAAGACTCTTTACTTCTCTTTTGTTATATTTC